AGAGGTATTTTTTACTCTTAAAATGATTACCAAGGACCACTTGAAGGAAACAGAAAAATGGGGACCAAGATTTTTTAACACAGGAAGCTAAAGTTAACATGCTAAAACCATAGGTAAACAGCTAAAGAGTGGGCCTGAGTTTCAAACATAGTGGGCACATCTGCACTTTCATTATGTGCCGTAATAACAGGTACTAAACTTAATGTGCTAATCAGCACTACTGCGCATTAACACAGATGAATGGTTTTTAAGTGACGTTAATGCACATTGGACCAAGTCTACTGCGAATTAGCGCATTAACACAGTTTTTGCCAGCCATGCTAATGCACAGTACAATTCATCTAATACTCAGTAAGTGTCTCATGTAGATGTGCCCACTGAGGACCAAGCAGCTGCCACTAGCTTTAACGGGCTCACCAACAAAACACCTACTGGTGTCAAGGGAGCTCAACATATCTGTAGGCACATCAATTATTTTGGAATCCAAATAAGGATCAAATAGCCTAACTTTGGACACCTAATTTGAAAATCTTGGCCAGGATTTGAACTGCTTAGGAGTTCCTTTTGTTCTAGGTGTTTATTGGCTCTACTGTGTGATAACACAGAGTTTTATGTCATGCTCCTAGCTGGGTTACTGATACACAGAGCTTTGCTAAAAGACTGCTTCTTTGCTGGTGCTCAACCAAAAACTAGTACATCTAAAAATAAACCAATAAAACAGAAAAGGACATAACCGCAGTCGTTCTTTAAATCCTCCATGTTGCAAACCAAATTTTAAGTTCGATTATTTGTGGAAACACATTTCAATTTCAACATAAGTAAAGCTTACAGTCCTCTGAGTGACAAACACTAGCACCTGCAAGTTAGAAAGGTAGAAAGATGGCACTGGAACCTCCAAGGACTGAGAAATGGAAACTAATGAGCTTATAGCAGAAATCCATGGGTAGTTGGTAGGCCTGTGTGAACCAGCAAGCATTCACTTTGGAGTCAGCTGATTTGGAGGAATAGTGATTTGATTCGGTGATTCGAATCGCTGTCCCAATTTGATTCGGCCAATTTGGATTTGGAGATTTGGCGCCAATTCAGAGATTCGGCCATAGACTATAATGGGGAATCACTAAAATGCCTATAACTTTGTGGGTTTTTTGCAGATTCAGATGAAAACAGCATAGATGCTGGCCCCTTCTGAGGGCATGAAGCCTGACAAGTTTCAACGAGACAGGTGCAGGGGTTTCTGTGAAAGTGCCCCTCAAACTGTTGAAAGCAAAACTCGTATTACTTGTGTGCGTTAAGGTAGAATGAGGTGAAAACAGGAGGGAGCTCAGTGAAAGATCACAGTCACTGGCCAGCTACAGATACCAGTATCAGAGCAGTCTTTCTCCCCGCTCAGTCTTTTCCATATATGGAAGATCACACCATCCCCCTCCCTCTTCTCAGTTTCTGTTTGCTGCAAGCCTTCCAAATCTCCCCAAATCGATTTGGACGCTCCCAGTCCGATTTGGACCTTTTAACGGGTCTCCTGATTCAATTCAGATTTAGAGATTCGTCTGCCAAATTGGGCCAAATCTCCTCTGAATTGAATTGGCTACCGAAGCTTTGCACAGCCCTAGTAACAGGTATGCAGGAAAGATTGTTTCAATGTAAGCAGATAGTGACAGAAAATCATGGACTTGATCTTGATGACAGATGGCTCAGTGGGTGCAAAAAAGGACTACAGGTCTCTGTATGTAACAGATTTTCTTGGGGAAACCAAAAATGAATCAGTGTCTTGAGCTAGGGACAGAAATTACACATAAGCCTGTATAAGTGACTGAAAACTGATTCAAATCTGTCACAGTTTTTACTGTAGCGAATAATGTAACATAACTACCTAAGAAATTGCAGCTATATTCTTCTCTCATGCTAGTATAAAACCAGAAGAAATGCTACTGAATTCACTAGAATCAAATTGGTGTAAGCACAATATAACGAGCACAGAATAGATCTCCTGACTTCAAAAGAGGAGTAAGAAGCAGGAGGGGATGATTGTGATTATTATAAACAATCAAGATCCTGTTTCTATACAAAAGCCCTTAATAAATTAAAAACTATGGGAAGAGATATACAGAAAACATAAGCAGAATGAATGGAATTTTCCCCATAAGGCATCTGCGGAGCTTTAAAGAAAATGCGGACAATCTCTAGCATTGGCTGCTAGAAGAGACAGCAACTTAAGTTTCCTAATTAAACAATTCAATTCAAGAATCACCATCGTTTCATAACACTGAAACCTGGGGTAACACCTCCTTGAATAAATGAAAGTACTTTGGGGTATAAAAACACAGTAACTAGAGGCTAATGAGGAACAGACAAAGAAAAATGTGAAATGCTGTAAAGCCTTAATAGTTGAGATAATGACTAAAATTTATGACTGCTTCCTTCCCTGGCAGACAGGAGTACAATTAGAATTCTCAAAACAACAGCCCCTTTGTGCTCGCATGCTGCGTTATGTTTGTACTGCTACAGATAGACTAGATGATAAAAAATAAATAGTATAGCACCCTTGCTAACCCAAGATAACAGCAATCTTTTTATATGGTTCTGAGCCTGGGTTTATTCTGAAAACGGAGTTATTTAAGTCATTGTAACTGCAATGGGCAGGAATTAACCATTTGGGCCATTTGCTATGCACAGAAGCTTCTGTATGCACAAGGACACAGGACAAGAACAAGCATGCTATTATGGAGCACTTTATAATTTCCTTTGTGGTCCAAAGACAGTCCACCATTTAAATAACTGAAAATTATTTATTTCTTTAAAAGAAGAAGAAGAAGAAGAAGAAGAAGAAGAATGTCCTTGGCTTGATGAACTGTTGAATGAAAAGCTTCAGGAAATGCACATGCCTTTTCCTTTCATCTTTTACTTATACCAAGGATACGGATCACTTGGAGCTGACAGCCGTTGGAGCAAGCATAAGGAAATATGAGTATAGGTTTTCTCATCTCAATCACAAAGGAAGTACTATTACTTCTATATTCTGAATACACAAACTTGACTCAAATAACCACAGATGGTTTTGCTACAGAATAGCCTAAGGCCGTCTTGTCCCTAAGAACTCTGGGAAGGACATATGCCCATGGAAGCTCTAACGGCCTCCTCAAGAATATTCTCAGGCCTGTAAGACCATCCAAAGGCTTTCATCTATTGTGTTCTTTCTGTCTGGGCTGCCCTCTCTCTCCCTTCCCGCCTTCCCTTTATGTGATGCACACATCTCCTCCCTGGGTCTAAGTAGTATGAGTTATGACATCAGTCCTAAATCTTAGTTAAGCATACAATGCTGTCGAAAAGCTCTTGAGAATTATTTCTTGCAGGCATGCTACAACAGGCAGTAGAATGCAAGAGGACTCTCAAAGTAAATATCAGAAATGATCCCAACACAGAGATAAAGCTCATTTCACAAACCAAAAATATACATCACTGAATTCCTTACCTTCACTTTCCATTGTTTATATATTTAAAAAAAAAAGAAAAAAATTACTGCAACACCATATACCACAAGCTATATGACAGGACATGTTGGCCAAATCTCCTGTTTTTTTCCATGATGAGGTGAGACGTCATGAAATGTTGCATAATTCAGCACTGCATGTCAGTGCATATCAGTGTAAATCATAAGTAGAAATGTACATGAATGAGACATTCATGTGGCAAATACACAATAAACACTTAAGATTTATGATTGGATTAATCTCCCCACAAGAAATGTAAATATTAGAAACCTATATGGGGTGAGCACTCTGGATCAACAGTTACTGGCTGGCCTATCTGGAATCTAGAGCTGCCTCATATTGCTGTTCTAAGACACAGATGGCTGAAAGCAATCCTGCTAGTTGTTAGGAAAGCACTGGAGCAATGTAGCAATCTGGAAATACCCACTACTCCGAAACCATTATCCTCCTGTCTTTCTGTACAACTAACAGCATCTACCTAACTATGGGCACTATGCAAATAAAAATACCATTTTATCTTCTGCTGTTCACAAAAATTGCCTTGAGACTAATATAAATAGTCTTTAGAAACCAAAAAAGCAACAACAGCATTTCAGTTAGTACATTTCCCTTTCTTAATATTCCAAAAAAATTCTAATACAGTTGGATGATTTAAAATTTTATTACAGAAATAATAAAATTATTCCATTTTGTAATATCCAAGGACTCTCTAAAAGCTTGAAATGATCTGTGTTCAAAGGTTTCTTAATTAGTTTTACAAATATTGTTTCAGTTCGACAAATCACAAAAGAATAAACCCCAAGTTTAGCAGATTTTTGTATGCCCATGTTTTGCTAGGAATTAAAGGGGGAAAAGCTACTACAAGAAAACACCACAAAAGCATCAAAATATGGAAATGAAAAGCAAAGAGGAAAGAACTTTAATTTGGTTAATGGGGAAAACTCAGAGCCACATGTTTAATGAGCTTATATATTTCCCTTACCCACAACCTAGTAAAGCTGAAGATCATAATACAAAGGATGCAAATAAACTGTAACAACATGAAGAAAAATTATACTTCCAAAAATCAGTCCAATTAAAATAGTGCAGCAAGCTAGTACTGATATGAAGCTGAGATTGCTAGCTATTGGATAAAAGAAGTCTAGCTGTTTCTGTTTACACTAACCCCACCTGTGAAGTAGGAACAAATAAAGGCTTGCTATCATTTGGTCTAAGAGCCAACAGAAAATACAAGAAGATTTCAGTTTTCAAACCAGTACTGGCTGATTACTCCTCAAAACTCTTTTCAGTATGTAGAAATAGAGCAGCTGGCTCATAGTCATAACTCAAGTTGCTTACTTTCTCCATACCATTTGAGGAACAACACAGATACCAAATGCAGATGTGGCCTTTAAACAATCAGTCTGACTAGTTAGGAAAAACTGGGATGCAGCACATAAGAATGAAATGATGCAGCAAAAGCAAGAGAGTTATAAACTCAAAAATAAAAGTACATTAGAGAGGCTTCTGTACCTGGCCATTCCCAGACTGGAAAAGTTGGAAGGGACTATCAACACATCGAGCCTGGAAAAGGGATGAGTACCCAGTGTAGCATGAGCAGCCGACAGGCATTGAGGAATCAGCTCAAGCAGCTTCTCTGCACAGAGGTCCCTCAGGCACCATGGAGCAAAGACTCGATGAGGAATGACTGGTTGAGATGCGGCACCAGGATTTTGGAACCGGCAGGGGTATTCCAAATGACCACAGCCCCCTTCAACCAACCTATGAACAATAAAAAGTGCAGTGGTTTAATTTGATATTAGAAATAGGCAGAGCTAGATGTGAATACTGGAAGTTAGGATCTTCTGCAGACACCAAGGACACAAAACTATAGATGGACTTGCACAGAATGATGGCTCATTTGTGTTCTCCCGGTCTTCACACCAGTACGGCAGTGAAAAATTGTGGAGCAAAATTAATAAACTTAGGTGGAATTGATTTGGCTACTCCAATCTAAAACAAGTGAAAATAGTAACACCTTGTTTTACAGCAAAAAGGAATTAAAAAAACATGGGTTCAAATCCAACTACTGTACAAGCCATAACTGTGCATACATTTGTGTCTATGTGCATATTTTACAATAAGAAAATATGGAAAAGTAAGTGAACAAGAAGAACCAATGTAACTGAAACTAAAAGAACGATTCAGAATTTCTAAGATGAATGTTTTGAAACACTTCAATATTTAACCAAGGAACAAAGTCTGGATTCATTTTTTCCTGAAATAAAAACAGAAATATGGTTTCAATAAAATAAAAGTTAAATTTCTTAAATTAAAAATGCTTCTGGAAAAAAACTATTAACAGCTGCTCCTACTAATAAAACAGCAGTGCACATCATTGCAGTCTTATCACTGGTAACAGCTGAAAAAGAATCACTTCAGAACCAAATGTGAACTGTGTATCTTCTATGGACTGGTTTCCATCAAAGGTGGACTTGGAAAAAACCCTACACTTCCTAATGCTTTTAGAAGTAGTTATTTGTCCAAATGAATTCAGCTCAAAGAAAAATCAGCTTCACAGATTTTCACCTGCTAGCTTCTCACCTCTACAACAGTCTCTTTTTGGTGGGTTGTGTGTTCGGTTAGGTGGTTTGGTTTGGTTTCCACTTACGGGACAGATTTTTCAAATACTTTCTAGCAGGTGTAGTGCTTATTATTACTATGGTAAATATTAGCACCCACTGCATTTGCTGAAGTGCTGGCATATAACTGTGTTAAAAAACTATGCAATAAACACCACCCAACATTTATGCAATGTCTCTTTAGCTGAAAGAAATGGACCCTAAACAATTTTCACAGATCTACACAAAGAAACCTCACCCAGCACTGAAACACAGTGATCTCTAGTGAAAAAAATGCCATACATATTTAACATTATAACTGAATTTACATAATATTTTTCAAAGGGTGGTGGCTGACTGACCTTTTAAAAAAATTATATCTGTCAAAATGTAGTTACCGAGCGTGAAATCTGACACGGGAATGAAGGTGGCACCCTGAATCCTTTGAATAACTGCCCAGGATTCTTCACAGACTAATAAACAGGAATCTAGCTTGATGTCTCTGGCTCAGTTTTATGCCTTCTATGAGGCTGCTCTAACTGTCAGAAAAGCCTCCCTCTTCTAGCTCCTCTCTCTTCCTTCAAACCAGCAGTGGAGACCCAAACTTCTTGTTGGGAATGTTTTCTTTTTTGAGAAATCTGCCTTTAAGATTTATCAGATGAAATTTATATTTCAGATGAGTTTGTACATTTTCAATGCCTATAGTATGCCTAGAGGTAGAAGCATGTCCACGCATCAAAATCAAAATAAATCCATCCCACCTTAAAATAGCTTTCTTTCAGTAATCCATTCTCATTTCCTTATTTCTCAAGAACTTCTTATCTTCTCATTTGACTAACTGCACTATGATTTCCCTGTTTTATCTACCTTTGGGCCCACTCTTCATACTTTCATGACCATGCCAAGTGTTGACTACACTGATTTTTGTTGATTACAGTGGGTAAGAACTCGATAGTAAATATTATGTAGAGAAATAAGGGTTAACAACATCCAAAACTTAGACTTGAAAATCTCTCAGACAAATATCTGATGACTTTTTCTTTTGCAAAAAACCCCTGCCCACATACATTCACCTTTGCTACCTGGATGTCCTGTATTCATTTTACCTACAACACAATTTTCACATAAAGCCATCTAAATTCGAACTTATACCAATCTCTCATTATGTACAGGATAGTCCCTTCTTGCTTCATCTGATCAAAAGACCTTAAAATAAAGTGATTTTATTTTCTATACAAATAGTATTAAAAGTTTTTCAAAATGATACAGCAGTAAGTGGAATGAAAAATTATAACCAGATTTATATTTCTCAATAAGCAGCAGCAAATTAAATCCTGAGGGGAAGGACTAAAGCATTCAACCTTTGAATAAGAAAGATATGAATTATTAAGTTTTCTGTAAATGACAGAAGCCAGATTTGCATTTTGTGCACTTTAGTGAGAATCGCTGCAGTTAAGTAAGTCACACACTGATGTTCCATATGTACAGGCACAGGCCTTATCACTATTTATGTCTGGTAACTCCCACCGCATGCTAGGTGCCATATAACACACAAGACAGACAGACGGTAAGGGAATGGCATACGACATGCAGTTTCAGAAGAGCCTGGTTGTATCATCAGATGATAGATGTTTTAATAAGGTGACTTCTTTTAAAAAGAAAAAAAAGGCATATCGACTAGTAACCATAATTAACCAGTTAATTTCTGTCCTCACAGTCAAAAAGGAACTTGAGGAGAGATTTTAAAGGACAGGAGAGTTACAGCAGTTAGTTCAAGGAGGACAGGAAGGCAGGAAGACAGTGGTAAGAGAAGTCTCATTGGTGGAACAGTGAAGACATGAGACAAAAACAACTATACAGCTCAATGATTGGGAAAGTACTAACTGGAGAAACAGACAGTATTTGTGGGATTTACGTTACATGTATACCAGGAAAGATCCTATTGTAAAGGCAGCAAAAGTCTAGTCCCAAGGATTTTTCATTACTGAAAAAACTTCTCTGTTCCTGGTGCAGTTTGCTTATTCTAAGAAGTTATGATTCAGCCTCCAACAGACATAAAACAAAAACAAACTCCCATGGAAGAGAATGCATAAAACAAAATAAAATAAAACCACAAATGGAAAATATTTGATGCTGCGGATGTTAGGGTTTGGGGCTTTTTTCTATCTGAAAAGGAGGACTTTCATGCAGTGGTTAAAACATCCACAGCTCTCTGCTCTGTTTCTACCTCTAGTATGATACGTATGATCTTGGGCATATCACTCATTCTCTCTGTGCTTTAATGTTCCCATCTATAAAATGGGCATAAGAACAGTTCTACCAATGATGCCCTCAATCACACTACGCTGCTCCATCCAGGCTCCACAGGCAAGCTATCCTTGGCCCTATACTTCAGCAATGCCAAGTAGGGTGGAACACTTGAGGGTATTGCTCATGGAGACAGTAAGCTTACCATATGGTTATTGCCCATATTTACATGCCAAATGTTATGAAAGTACTGTCTGAAAAAGTTAGAAAACAACATAACTAAACACTTGCAACATTTCTAATGTAACGTATCTGAATAACTAAACCTCTCTCTTTTTTCATAAACACTTAACGTAATTAATTACAGTAAGATCAGCAAAAAGTACAGATATTAAAAGCGTGGCACATTAGAGAGGAATGTACAACATAACATAATGGCAGCATGTGAAATTCTGTAGATACAACAAATATATTCACAGTGGGGATGTATCTACAGTATTACATGTTGTGTTTTGTCAGATACAGACATGTCCACAGTGGGGGCATAAGTATGGAATGATTTAAAGGTACATCTAATGGTATAAAAAATGAAAGTTTCAAACCATATTTCTCATCTCATTATTTTAAAATAAATGAAAGGCTTTTTCTAAAGTTCACTGAGATTATTATTAAAATTAACACAGCATCAGCTGAGCGGGAAAGTTAAACCTGAGAGCCCATTCAGAGATGACTATTTGGTCCTCCATATACAGAATCTGACTAACAATACTGAAGCATTGAGGTCTTTACAATCCATATTCTTAGCAGCAATAAATGGAACCAAAACAACTTGAGTGATTTACAAACCAATTTAATTGGCAAAAAAAAACGTTTTTAAAAATCCGTACATTAAATGTTTAACTGATTACAAACTAAAAGGATGTAAGGACCGTGTGAAACTGGAAATAAATTGCAGCATCTGAGAATTCAGTTAGACAAATTAAACACATGTAGAAACTAATTGTCTTGATCTGCGAACCTATTTTTTTCTACAGAAACTATACACAATTGACCATCCTTCGCCTCTGGACTTACTTCCCCAATAAAACTGCTTTCTGTCTTGATTAAACATGTTCATCTGTGATCCCTCTGCTCACATGAATCACCCACATTTCACAGACTAAATGGAATACTCCCTCAAGTGTTTATTTTTCAAAAATATCCCAAACACCAACCTGAAATCAGCCTTTGAAAATGGCAAGGAGATCACATCATTTGTCATGACCTCAGTTGCAAGAGATTCCCGTTTGACTTCTATCCAGCACCCAACAGCGATAGTGAAGGTGGATGCTGGCATTGGCATGGTCACATAATAGTTCCAACTAAAGATACCTATGAGCAAAAGGAAACAGCAATTACTTACTAGGATACAACATACATTTCTAGTATCAGGACTCTGAATTGTAATGCACAAATGTTTGGAAAACCTCTTCCCCCATCTCCCAACATTTTTTCTTCAAGAAGGAAACAGATAACTAGATTGTCTTTCAACCACATTACTTAATACATTGATAGTTACATGTTACTTCTGCTGGAGGGTGAAAGGCACATTAGGAAAGAGTTTAAACCTAAAATGGAGCTTATGCTAATATTTATATCTGAATAATCTTCCAAAAATTAAACCTAGCTTTGTGATTTTATAAATGTAAGCCTTAGTGAAACATTAGGATTATAGGAAAGTAGGGATGACCTCATGAGGTCATCTAGTCCAGCCCCATACTCAAGGCAGAATCATTCCTGGCTAAACCACCCCAGCTAAGTGTCTGTGTAACCTGCTTTTCAAAATTTCCAGGAATGGAAACTCCACAACTTCTCCAGTAGCCTGTTCTGGTACTTGACCACCCTCATCATTAGAAAGTACTTCCTAATTCTACAGTCGTTCTACATTTTGTACTAATAGTCCAAGCCCTTGCACCATACAAGCAAGTGTGGAGTCAAACAGGATCTTCTGCCTAGAAAAAGGGATAAGCATTATTCCCCAATAAGTGCGCTTATGAACTGCCATACAGGTAATTCATACCACAGATAATAAAATA